GCTACTATTAAATTTTTAGAAGGGCCATGCTGGCACAATTTGGTTTCCCCCCCAAGTGCTTGTCTCTTCATTGTTCTTTACCTATCAGCCTCCCTCAAGAGGGACAGCTGTAGGTATAAATCAGAGCTCAGGAAGGCAGCAAGCACATCCTCTATTCTGGCTGGCTGTGAGGGCAAGACACCCGTGCATGAAGTGCCAGCAGCAGGGAATGGGGAAACAGGATTTCAGACTGCCTCTGATTCCAGTACTACCAGGTATAACCTACCTGTGGCTCTCACTCCTGCACTGAGCCACAACTGAAATCCTAAAATGGTCAGGGAGGTAGTACAGCTTCCTTGGCAGGACAAGGCTGCTGCCTTAAAGGACTGGGGAAAGTGACAGCAGGAACACAGTGTTCACAGGTTTTGAAATAAAATAATATTTGCCTTTTAGGTGCTGGGATCACTGTGCTGGGATCACTGGTGCTAAGACACTGGGCTAAATGCTGTGATGGAGCGAACACAATGAAAGCAAAGATGTGTTTTTATTTACTACATTAGGAAAAGCTCCATGACCATCTGATCTACATTGGCACAATTTAGGTAAGGTGAAAAGGTCAGAGGATTAATTCTCATCAAATGCAGCAGGATGCCTGCCCTCAGGAGCAGCTTGTCAAAGTCTGCTCACAGCTGACCAGTGCTATGAACGTGTGACTGGGTGATCTTGGCTGGAGGAGGAGCTCTGTGGGTCAGTGCTGAGATACTTGAGAAATGCTGTCAAGCTGACTTTGGGCTTCAGACAGTGGTATCCCATAGCACAGCACCGTGAGGCAGCAGTGAAGTGTGTCCAGACTTTAATTTTAAAGCTGTATTTATATATACTCGACTTTATTTTGGGTAGGCTGGCTGTGGAGCTCTAAGCAGCTTCCATATGCAAGTTGTGCTGTTTTGTACCTAGAGCTGCTGCAGACACAGCCAAGATACACATTATTCCTTGTCTAAAGAGCCTGCCTGCAGCAAGGGCTGGCTTCTGTGGCAGCCCAGTCCTACTGTACTATAGCCCACAGACGGCATTTCCCTTTGGGAATCCTACCTGTGAATGTTTTTGACTTAGCAGAAATCCTATCTGCAGGGAGAAGCTCACATATCCCCCCATGGTCCCCAGTGCTCCCTCTAGGACAAGGGGACAGGAACCTTGTTTGCAGACTGCTTCTAACAGTGACAGAGCTCACGGTGGGGCATCTCAGCACCAGCTTTCAGGGGATGAGTCTGGAGGAAGCATCCCCTTAGCTAACTGCTAGCCAGGAAAGGGGAGGAACAGCAGGGCTCATGGGTGCTGCTCCCTGCCCTGTTCCCAGCTCCAGCTGGCAGCAGGCCTGTCCTACTGCACGAGGGACCCCACACCATACTCTCCATCCATACCTGCCCGCACGAGGCCAGAGACATAAAATGTGGATTTGGTTTGAAATTCTGATTATGGACAAAATGACCTAACATTTCACAAGGACAATTAGGTGAAGCACAGTCTTTTGTGCGTGCACCGCTTTCCCTAAGTGGAGGAAGGCAAGAACAGTTCGGTGAAAGACGAGATGAGGCTGTAATAGGATTTCTCATCGTCCGTCAGTCCCGCGTTGCCCGGTCTGATCACCACAGCCACGTGAGTGTCCGCCTCCTCGGCTGCATTGGCTTCTGAAACAAACAGAGAGGGGACAGCTCTTACTGACCTCTTCACAGCAGGGTCCCTGAGGCTTGAGGGTGCTCCAAAAACTCGAGTGCTTTTAAAGGCTGAGACCGAGAAATCGGTGTTTGCACATGGCAGGGCTCTAGAGAGGAACCAGCTCCTGGCAGACCTGCTGTGGCTGGCTGTAGCTGCAGGAATGGACAGGAGCTGGCTGCCTCATCCCCTCCCCTCTGCCAGCTGATGGCTGTCCAAGGCTCCTTCCAGGCACCACACACCATCAGCTCGATTCCTGTCATGAGGCTGTGGTCAGCCTGTGGCCTGTGTGAGTCAAACAGCCCCCTCCCCCAGTCACTTCTCACAAGCTTCTTTTTGCTCCCTGAGCACAAAAGGCCACTGGAAGATGATCCGGGGAAAAGAAGCTCCCACCAGCTCTGCTGCCAAGGCTGGGAAGGAGGTAAGGACTAACTCTGGGGGCTGAGCTGGCTCAGACTGAGACCCAGTGTTATTTCTGCCAGAAAGATGTTTCCAGCTAAAGCAGGAAATTAAATTAGCTTCTCAAGCCTGGCTTTCCATGGGTCAAGTCTTGGCAACCTGAAGCAATGTTTTCCTGCTGCTGAACACAACCTGACCATAAAGTGGCACAAAGAATCAGCCACGTAGCAACACAGCAAACACCATCATTTCCCTGAGCACCGGCCAAACCACTGACCCTGTTTGTAAATGGGCCGTGCCTCAGCACTCTCTCCTGCCTGGCTGGTGCAAAGGCAGCTTTTTCTACTTGACCTATTTTCCCTCATTGCAGCACTGCACATGGACATCCCACTGCTGTGTGCAAGCCTGGGTGTGTGAAGGAGGAGGATGGCAGCAGCTAGAGGGAAGGTGCTGAAGCATTTCTGGGGTGCTTGTGAGAAGGCAGCAGCACACCTCTGAAGAGCACCTGCCTCCCCTGCACAGGTGAGGGGCAGCAGGACTGGCAGGTGTCACATACCTCGAGGGACATCTGTCAGGAAGAGGATGTTGTTGGTGGCACACCCAATACTGGCAGCAATCCTTCTGTAGCTCTCACTTTCTACCTTGGGGCCTATTTTAGTATCAAAGTGGCCATCAAAGAGCTGAAAGAGAGAGAGAAGCACAGGCCATTGCTGAGTGCCACCTGAAGAGCAGGGATAAACCTCCCTCCCTCCCTTTCTGCCACAGTAACGAGGGGTTGGTGCAGCCATGCTCTCACAGTGAACTCCTTGAGCTGAATTCCCATGGATCAAACCCACTGCCCCACCTTCCTGTCACAGAATTCCTTCACAAATGTTACAGCAAGAGTGGTTGTGGCAAGGGAGTGATCTGCAGGGGGAGAAGCTGTAAGGAAGGTGGTAAGGTTATCTACCTCTAGGATATCACCTTCTGTAGAGTATCCAAACAGAAGCTTCTGGGCTTCCACGCTGCCTGAAGAGTAGATATAGACCTTCATCCCTGCTTCCCGCCACTTCCGAATGGCTGGAACAACGTCCTCGAAGATTCTGGAGCAAAACAGGGCACCAGGTAAGGTAAGGGCAAACCCAGAGGCACCTGGGGGGACTCATTTGCCAGGCACTGTGACAATTTGTTTTGTCCCATTAGTTTGCAAGGGGACTTCATTTTCAATCTGCCCAGGGCTCCTGGAACCGGAAGGTCTCTTCCAGCATGAGGTGATCCGAGCTAGACAAAGATATTTTAGAGATCTTACTCCTTGAATGCAGCCAAGAAGGCAGTTTTCCCCACAGTTTTTGGGTCACTGTAAGACAATTTAGCCTTGTTTTTAAAAACAAAACCAACAGGATATGAGTCTCTCTTGATTTGTTTTTGGATGTTTACATTTTTCTGTCAGGTCATTTTCTTCCTTGTTCCTCATTTGGCAAAATACTTGGCGAATTTATGGGCTTGTTTTACTTACTTAGAGATCTGAAATGCACAGTTTAACCAAGCATCTAAGATCAGGCTTAATTTCAATTGTCCCTACTTATGCACTCCTGTGTTGTGGCTGAAACAAAGAGGAACCTGAAGACAAACAGAAGTGCAAAGGCAGGAAACACACAGGTAAAAGACAAAGCAGGAGGAAACAACTGAAAGGGTCTGACCCTGCAACTCTGGCTTGTTTATACTTGTTCCAAAATATGAGTGCAATCTGGGGATAAAAATGCAAGATGGAGAACTGTAAGAAGCTCATACTTGTAACTCTTGGTTTATCAAGAAATCTCTCAAATATTGACTTATCTGCTGAGCCCCCCACAGCTGCCCCCCAGGAGGGGGCACACAACTACTCACACAATTACTCACTCTCCTTTGACGTGCCCGGTGGCATAGGCTGCCCTCCACATGTGGCCCTGCAGCTGCTTCAGTGCCGTGGTTTTCCTGTCCAGGGACATCTGCCAGTGCACGTTGTCCACCACGGCCTGGATGACGCGCTCCAGCTCCTCCTCCCCGCTGCCGCTCTCCAAAGGGATGGGTACGGCCCCGTCCAGGCTGGAGTCCTCCTGAGCCTGCACAGTGGTGTTAGAGCACGGTGCTAACAGTGCCAAGGCTGTGGGGCTGATCCCTGCACAGGCTGGTCACTAAAGAGCTGGGCTTGCTGATCCGTGTAGGTCCCCTCCAACTCAGATTATTCTGTGGTTCTGTGCAATCATCCATGATAAAAAGAGGGGAGGGAAGAGGTGGAGCAATTTCCACACCTCTAATGTAGGAAAAGTGATCTAACAGATCTAACATCAGCATCCATGCACTGCTGTACAGGACACTGCTCGAACTGATCTTCACACTAGGGGCTACAACATTGTCTGCTTTTCTCAATGGAAAATTGAGACTCCAGTTGTGTTTAGAAATACTTGCTTGGACTGTACTTTCCAAACCAAACAATTAGCATTACTGTAGCCATAAATACTCTAATGAGAACTATGCTTGCTTAAGTATTTAATTACTGTAATTAAGGCAAAGAAGCAAATGCATCTGTTGGCTTCAGCCACAAGTTTCAAATTGATACTGTGTCCCTGTACAGAGGCAGCATCCACTGCTCTGTGTGGAACAAGTGCCATCCCCCTGTGCTGCTTCCCAAAAGAGGTTTGGATTCAACAAGAGAAGGGCACAGTGCAGGCAAAAAGCTGGAAAGTCTTGGCTCAACAGCTGCCCAGGGGCTGTGAAGACCAAGGTGAGCTGAGGAAAGCTGCTGCCTGCCAAGCCCAACCCCAGGCTTTGGATGGGGGAGAATCCAACCTTCAAGGCAACTGGCCTCCATGGGTGGGGGCAAAGAGACAGGGACAAATGTGGGGTGACCACAAGAGTCCGAGTGAGCCGAAGCCTCAGGCAAGCAATGCAAATGCAGAGACAGGGAATGACTCTGTTACTTAACCTGTTTCCTCAGCAGTCCGACATCCCGCTGGCACTCCTCCTCTTCCCAGTGAGCACGCAGGTACTCCTTCACGTTGTCTTTGATGTAAGGGAACAAGGTCTCCTGGCAGAAAAAGAGGCTGCTCCTGTAAGCTGGCAGAGGTAAGGCTGACTGGCTTTTAAAGGAACCGTTCACACATGCTGCCCTGTACAGTTATTTTCCCAAATCTAAGCTTCCCCTACAGTGCTGCAGCTGGTGAAACTTCCAGCCAAGGGTGTGTGCCTGGTCACAGCCTCAGGCCAGGATCAGTGCAGGTGGATTTTTTTACACAAATGTTGACATAGCTGAAACTTTTAAAGCCTGTGGTGGAAAGGTGGGTGATAACTTTTCCTGGGCTTGCCAAAAAATATGTCTCAAATGGCACATGTGACCCCACATTCCCACCAGCTGAGGAGTACAAGGCTGACAAGGTATGTACTCTGAACAGATAAGTTATGCTATTGTATTCTTGATGAGGCACTTGTCCTAGCAAAGGTCATTCTGAAAACAGGTCTCAGCCTCTCCCCAAAGCTAGAGGACCTTTTAAAATGAAAAGCCTGGTCCCGTGACACTGAACTCCACAGGACAGTCTTGCAAATTAAATTAAATGGGGTTTGGGAAAAGAGCCACAGGAAAATGACAAATCTTCACAGAGATCCCAAGGGCAACCAGAAATAATTACAAATTGCTCTCATTAATGGTGTTTCATGAGTCTGAAGACACAAGCAGCCACCGTGCATCTCCAGGTACAGAAAAAGCTTCAGGGCAGGGAAAGAAGAGCAGGGAAGTCCTTTCTTTGGGTAGAGAACTGAGCTTTTCTTAATTGGGAAAAAAGCTCAGCCTGAACTCAGCCTTCCTCAAAAAATGGTCCATAGTTTCTTGTTCCTTGTCGTATGTCATCTTTAGCTTGTTACTGAATTAAGAAAGTAGCAGTCCCAAGATTGTGATGTGAATGCAGAACTGCAGAATTTTCTATTGCTCTAATACTGTGTTTTCCATGTTATATATTTGAAAAACAATGCAGATTGCTTTAAGAATTACCACAAACTTGACTAGGGAAATCAAAAGCCTTGTAATGCCCCCAGTTAACCTCTCATTTCCTTTACTTTCAAGCTATCTTTTAAATCATGGAGGAAATTAAAGAGAATCCACTGGGAAATGCAGCTGACCTGCTGGCTTGGTTTAATCTCCTTTACAACTCAGATGTCAAAAGGACTCAATTGTCTTTCAAAAGCAGTGTTCCATACTCTTGTGCTGGCTAAGAAAAACTCCCTGACTGACTCTGAAAGATCAGTGGATTCTGTGATTTGTGAGATTTTAAAAGGGTAAAAGTCTTGGCAAGTGCATCAGTCTGTGAGCTAAGAGGGGACACCCATGTGACAGCTGGAGTAGTGGACAGCTCAGTGGGACAGATGGTTTATGGATGCCAGGAGTGATCCCAGTCAATGATGTACTGTAAGTTTAATAGGCCACGAGTCTGTGTGGAAGAAAGACTCCAAATACTCTCTTTTCTGGTATCTTTCCTTAATCCACCCATCAACTAACTCATTCTATTTCCTTACTTTGCAGATTCAGTAGTTCTAACATTAGAAAAAGGATTAAATAAAATCGTTTAATAGTGAAGAACAAAGCATCGACGGAACCATCAGTGGACCTTTCAAAGCCACATAGAGGTTAACTGAAAGATCAAATAAACTAACTTGTTTCAAGCATTTTCCAAGGATTTCCATCAAACTGAATTTTACTGGGAATCAAAACTCATTGGGCCTCCCTGTATCAGAAAGACTTCGGGTGACCCAAAGTCTCAGGTGCATGGCATGTTGTTTGCACAACCGCAAAATGACTTTGAGGTGGACAGAAACAACTTAGCTGCTCTGTTAGATGTTTAGTAAGAAACCTGAGCTGTCCAAACTGTTTGAACTGAAAGATATTGAGGGGAGGGAGGCAGCTGTAATGCCACCTAGGCCTGAAGTTTCTTCAAGAGCACTGGAAGAACATGGATGTAGGTCATGCTGTTCATCTGATAGACTGTGTCAGCAGAAGCCTCTAGAAAGCCAGGCAGGAGCCTTCACCTGCCATGGGGTTCACAAAGCACCTTTGTAAGCCACTGGCTGCAAAGATCCACCGAAAGCTGTAATGTCTCACGGAGAAATCCGGGTTAATGAACGGCAGGAGAAGGGATCCATCCGAGCAAGCCTCTCCCTCCTGTTAACCAAAGCCGCCCGCAGAGGAGGGACCGCGGCTATCACAATTTGCGGTTCTCCAGGCGTCTGTGACCCACAGACTTCCCAGTCCCCTCGGTTCTGCACCTAAAGCAGCATTTCCTGCAGCCTTAAGCTCTCTCCTAGGCAAGGGAAGCCACTCGTGCATTGGCTGCCGCTCCGGTCCCGGCGGCGAGCGCTCGGTGTGTCCCCGGCGCTGCTCTCCCGCAGGGCTGGACACGCTGCCCCGGCACACCGGGGGCACTCGGCCGCACCAGCCTCCCGAAGGGAAAAGGCAGCGGATAACCCCGAGAATTATCGATTACTGCAAACTGTTAATTACCGAAATTAAGCCCAAGAAGCATCGTACTTCAGAGAGCCCGCACTTGAGGCGCTCTGCAGAGCCGGGTGCGGTGCTGCAGCCCCAGCCATCAAAGGAACAGCGACGCTCGAGGGCTTTTCCGGGATGAGGCTGCGAGCACCTCAGCTGCCCTATTATATCCACCAGTGAAACAAACCCCTGACCTGCCCCAATCTCCGAGGCTGCGAGCACCCCGGCTGCCCTATTATATCCACCAGTGAAACAAACCCCTGACCTGCCCGAACCCCCAAGGCTGCGAGCACCTCAGCTGCCCTATTATATCCACCAGTGAAACAAACCCCTGACCTGCCCGACCCTCCGCGGCAGTGTCCTGCTCCCCAGCCCACCGCAGGGCGGCCGGTCGCCAAGACAAGGCGTATTTTCTCGCGAGCATTATTCAGAAAAACGCGGAAAATGGGTCACGGCTTTCATTCCCGGCGGTACCCCAGCCTGCCTTGAGACGAGCTCAGGGCGGGGGAGGTTACGGTGCGAAGGGCGACGCTCCGAGAGCCCCCCGCGACGCCAGGGTTGGGGGTCATGACAGGGCGGCGATGCTACCGGAGCCCCCCGCGGGGCCGGCGGCCACCGGGTCTCACCTGGACGAAGGCGATGGGGGTGGTGGTGCCCTCGATGTCCAGCAGGATGGCGCGCACCTCCGCCGGCACCGGCAGCACGCCCATGGCGGCGGCGGCACGTGGGGCGCACCGGGGACGCGCGGCGGCGGCGGGGAGCGCCGCGCCGGCTGTGCCCGCCCACGGAGGGCCCGCCCCGCCCCTCCGCGCCGCCGCCTGAACGGGGTTTCTGGGTTACGCGTTACAACCCGCCGCCGGCCGGCCCACTCAGCCCCGGCCCCCGCCCGCCGCGGTCCCCGGTGCGGCGGTGCCCGTGCCCGCCCGGAGCCGCGGCACCGGCCCGGCCCAGCCCGCGCGATGGCGGCCGCAGGGCGGCTGCTGCAGCCCCGCCGCGAGCCGCCGGGGGCGCTGCGGCGCCGGGCGGGAGGGCGGCGCTGATTGGCTGCCGGCGCGGCTATATAAAAGAGGCGCAGGCGGTGCCCGGATCTCTTCCGCCGCCATTTTCTGCCAGGCGCAGGTCTCCGCTGTCTCCGCCGCTCGCCCTCACACCCCCGCCGCCCTCGCCCCGCCATGGAGGACGCGACCGAGATGAGCGGCGGCCAGGAGGAGTTCGCCGAGGGCTCCAAGATCAACGCGAGCAAGAACCAGCAGGACGACGGGTAGGGCCGGGGACGTGGTGGGGGGGGGGGAGGTGTGGGGGAGTCGCGCGTCCATGTCCGCCGCCCGCCCTGCGGCTCGGGGGGGCGGCTCGGGGGCCGGGGGGAGCGCGGCCTTCCCTTCCCGCTCCGTGGCCGCGCCCGCCTTTGTGTCCCGGGCGGTGACCCAGTTTCCGCGGGGCGGGGACACGGACGGGGGGGCCGACCGGGGCCCTGACGTCACCGGCGGCCTGTGGGGTGCGGGGGGGCTCTCCCGGCGCTCCCTCACCCGTACCCGTACGCGCTTCCTGTCCCCTCCAGGAAAATGTTCATCGGAGGCCTCAGCTGGGACACCAGCAAGAAGGACCTGACGGAGTACCTCTCGCGCTTTGGCGAGGTTGTGGATTGCACGATCAAAACAGACCCGGTCACTGGAAGGTCGAGGGGGTTTGGGTTCGTGCTCTTCAAGGATGCTGCCAGCGTGGAGAAGGTGGGTGCTTTTCCTGCTGACCCATGGCACGAAGCTAGCTTGTGTGGCTGTGGTGATCTGAGACTTTGTTCCTTTGTCTGCTTTTAGGTGTTGGAGCTGAAGGAACACAAACTGGATGGCAAGTTAATAGATCCTAAAAGGGCAAAAGCGCTGAAAGGGAAGGAGCCACCCAAAAAAGTGTTTGTTGGTGGGCTGAGTCCAGATACATCTGAAGAACAGATCAAGGAGTACTTTGGTGCTTTTGGCGAGGTATAGTATATTAGCATATAAAACCACCTCTAATTCTCAAATGTGTAGTCTTGCCTCTCTCTTGCAAAAGAATTTGTGAGGAGGGAGTTGGCCAAAACTATGTCTTAATGATTTCATAAAATTGTAATGGTCTGGTTTAGAGCTGCTAAAAGTAGTCAGTGTAGATTCTGCGCTGCCAGTTGGTTCTGATGGCATAAAAGGTTGCTTACAGATTTCACACATTGTTTGTATTCATTTTGATTTCAGATTGAAAACATTGAACTTCCCATGGACACAAAGACGAATGAAAGGAGGGGCTTCTGTTTTATCACATACACAGATGAAGAGCCAGTAAAAAAGTTACTAGAGAGCAGATACCACCAGATTGGTTCAGGAAAGGTAGGAAAAACTCTTGTTCTTAGCAGGTGGAATCTGTCTCTGTAGGCTTCTGTGAAAGAAACTCACAGAATGCTCTTGGAATTCTTAGTAAGTTAAAGGATTTCTCTCCTTACAGTGTGAAATCAAAGTAGCACAGCCCAAAGAGGTGTACAGGCAGCAGCAGCAGCAGCAGAAAGGAGGGAAAAGCAATTCTTCTGGTGGACGTGGAGGCGGAAGGGGGCGTGGACGGGGTGAGTGTTTTCCGTGGTTCTGTTAATGTAAGTGTTCACCAAACACTTTGGTGTTTGTAGATATTCCAGGTGGCAGGCTGTGTGCAGATCTCATGTTTAAATCAAATGTGTAAAGTAGCCTGTGAGTAAGTGGTGTTTTGGTGGTTTTGGTTGCTTGTTGAAGCTGGGGAATCTCCTCTTGCTGTGCTTGCATTCAAGTGGTGAAGGGGTAGGGTGGGGTAGGTTGCTTCTGTGCATCCTTAGTGGACCGTGTAGCCAGCACAGTTACACTTTCACTTGAAAGGGATACACTTAATTGGCCCATGGGCCCAAAACCAGGAGCTGTTTGCTAAGGAGTGGGGTGGTCACTTTGCTGCACCTTCAAATGGATCAGAAGGGATCAGCTGGTACATTCCAGGTTAATGCATCGCAGTCCTTGAAGGTTGTGCAGACAGAACTCACACCACACAGTAAGGCTTGCCCTGTGGTGTCACTTGGTGCTCAGGCAATTACTGATTATTCTCATATCTAAGAAGTTGGATGAAGGGGCACAGGAGAGGAGTGGAATAAGTTTTAAAACTTCGAGTTGCTATGCTTGGTTTCAGGTCAGGGACAAAACTGGAACCAAGGATTCAATAACTACTATGATCAAGGCTATGGGAATTACAATAGCGCTTACAGTGATCAGAGCTACAGTGGCTACGGAGGCTACGACTACTCTGGGTACAACTATCCCAACTACGGATATGGGCCGGGATATACAGATTACAGTGGTAAGTGGATTTGCCCTCATTCCCCATAACAAGAGCAACACTGCTCTTAGTCAGCCCGTGGCTCTGAAGAGGAGATCCCTTGGTGTGCTGCTGTGGGTGAAGTCTCCCTCTGAGGCTGGTGCTAACACTTGTGGGTTCTGTTTTTCCCCGCACGCTACCTGCAGGCCAACAGAGCACGTATGGGAAGGCGTCCCGTGGCGGCGGCAACCACCAAAACAACTACCAGCCCTACTAAGGCAGTACCTAGTACCTGACAAACAGGTGTGTACAGGAGCACAAGCTCCACTCCGACTGTGCCTAATCTAATTTAAAGATCAATAGACAAACGAAGAGTAAAAACTTGCCTAGCATGACTTTTCCTTTAATTAAGCTTTTGTTAACTTAAAAAATACTTTTTTTTTAAAACCAGCTTTGCCTACGTGTCTATAGATCTTTAACTTTGTAAAAGTGTGACTTTATCTTCTTTAGTACTTCAGAAAAACATAAGAGTTTTTCTGGTTTGCGTTGTGTACCAGGTGATCTAGAGGAATAATTAAACTTATTAGAAGTATTAACAGGTAAAGTACTGAAATGGGTACAACTTAAGGAAAACAAGAATGTTGTCTTCTGACTCTGACATTATACCTTGTTTGTACCCGCCAGCGGGAACTTCATTGCAGGCCGTGTGTCACCCTGACCACGTCTATCTCTGGGGTCGCACGTTGCAGGCAGAGCGCAAGGCATACACCAGAAAACGCTGTCCTGTGGTATGGTCTCTTCCAACTTCATGTACCAGCGTAAAGATTAAAGTGGAAAACTTCAGACTTTGGCTTCTTTTTTTAATCTTTTTTGGAGATTAAGTGTCTTTAACTTAAATGGTTTTTTACAGGAGTTAAAGTACATAAATGCCTTTACAGCTTAATCATTTGGTCTTCTGTTTAGTGTTGTATTTCAATTGTGGAACCTCATTTTAAATGTGCATTCTTTAAGATTTTAATGCTTGCTTTTTTCTTTTTATAGCTAATAGTGAAATCTGCAAACCAAAACGAACTTTTAAATCTGGATAAACATTAAAGATCATATGCATATGGACTGTCTGAACTAAAGTGACCTGACTTGTGTTGCACATAAGTCGTTTAGTTGTATAAGCAAATAATGAGAGAGCCTTTTGGCAGTGTTTCCAATGGAAAAGAAAGTGATCCAGAGCCTGCTTACTTGTCTGAATTGGATGGTTGTTGTTTTGGAGCAGCCTCCTAGCTGGGCTGAATATTTGGGAAAATAAATTTACTGATGGGTAACTAAACAAACCTCTTGTGTTACCTTAATAAATATGCATATGATCTTTAACAGTGAAGAAAGGAATATATAGAAGACTTAAAGCAGTTCATGAAAATGGACCTTTTAACAATCCTGTAGTAACTGTCACAGATCTGACATGCATTTTGTCTTGATTTTTTAGGTAGAGATACTGCAACAAAAAGCCATCTTGCAACGCATCGCGAGTGAATGGAGGGTGGTCTTCGTGAGAGGAAAAGACTATTTTGTAAAAGACTTTTAGTGAATGACACAACTGTGTCCAACTGTACATAGCGGCCGACTAGTTTTCTTTTATGGTTTTTATTTTCTTTTTGCCATTCATGTTATGACACAATGTGGACTTGTGTTTATACAAACTTTATTTGTATAATTTCATGTTAAAAGATTCTCTAATAAATGCTTACTTAAGTGAGTGTGGAGTCTTGCTGTCACCTTAAAGTGGTGTAACTATAGTTTTACTTGGTTAGAAGGCCAGATCTCGCAGGAGATCAAGGTTACTGTGAGAACAGGTCTATACACCCCCTTCTTCCTCCTGATCTGTCCTGAGAGCACCAGAGTGCTTGGAATTAGCCTCACTGTGGAAGATGGCAGAGTCATGCCCTGCCCTCTGCAGCAGCAACGAGAGAGTGGTCTCTGGCACAATGCTGCCAGTTTTGTACATCTCAGGAGGAATCTAGAACTGTAGCAGCACCTTTTCAATGCTGATTGCACTGCTTTAGGAGTTGGAACTTTTCAAGGCTTCTCAAGCACTTAAAACCTCAAGTATTTTAGAATGTAGCTTAGTTACTTTCCCACACCACTTCTATTCCAGTTCCAAGCAGGAGATTACAAGTTCTTGATCAACTATTTTCTGTACAAGTTTAGGTGCTATACTGGACTCTTCTCACCTTCAGAAAACAAGTTTCCCATCTAGTGCACACTAGCAAGCAACAACTAAAAGCCTGAGTGCTGGAGAAGGATCACCACATTAAACCAGCACATTTCTGGATTAGAGTGGTTGGGATGGGTAAAGGAGCATGTTTTGTCTGAGGCAAAAGGATTGCAGCAGTCTGCCAGAAGATATGATGTTTCTCAGCACAAATACCTAGTCAAGCATCAAAATAAACTTTGCGTGTTATAACTCACTGATGTCACTGACTACAAATTGAAGAATCAGCAAGAAGCCACAGCAGTGTGTGAGTTTATACACTGCATTTGTGAGTGCAGCTAGATCCAGCACTGCTCTCCACAGCAGCTGAGGGGCTGAGGGAGACTTGTGCCACAAGAGCATGGCTTCATTGCTCCAGTGGTTTTTCAATACACAAAACCCCGCAAAGAGGCAAGTTTTACTCGAATCTGTGATCCTCCCACTCAGTGCTAGCAAAGTGCAGCTGGAATACCGTGCGCAGGTCTGTGCTCCTCAGCACCAGAAAGGCCAGGGGCTCCTGCAGAGGGTCCAGTGAAGGGCCACAAAGGTGATGGGGGCTGGAGCTTCTCTCATGAGGAGAGACCGTGGGAGCTGGGCCTGTTTGGTCTGGAGAAGGCTGAAGGGGATCTCACCATGCACATCAATATCTCAAAGGCAGGTGCAAGAGGATGGTACCAGACGCTTTTCAGTGCTGCCCAGTGACAGGACAAGAAGCAATGATCACAAACTAAAACACAAGTTCCACTTCACCACGAGGAAGGACTTATGTGGAGGGTGGCAGACCACTGGAATAGCTGCCCAAGCAGGTTGTCTCCCTCTCTGGAGCTATTCCAAACCCACCCCGATCAGTTCCTGTGGTCCTGCCTTGGGCGGGGGGGTCGAACTGTATAATCTCCAGAGGCCCAGCCCTATCGATTCCGTGAGTGTCCGTGCCGGCCCCCGAGGCTCCGGCTGCTCCCGGGGCTGCGCCGAGCTCCCCCCGCGCTCCCTCACGGCTCCCGGGGGCGGTGTCACGTGTCCGCCCGCCGCGCTCCTTCCGGCCGCCATTTTAGGTTGGGTCGGTGGCGGCGCCATTAAAAACAGGGAGCGAGAGGAGGAGGGCTCGGCGGGATCGGCGCGCTCGGCCGGGGCCGCCAGCGGGGCCGGGGCCTCGGCGGGGAGGCGGCGGCACCGGGGGTGGCCGGTGCGGGGCGGCGGCGGCACCATGTCGGATCAGCAGTTCGCTCTGGACTCGGCGGCGGTAGCGGCTGGCGCCGGGGGCAGCGCGGCGGAGCCGGCGGAGCAGCCTGAGGGGCAGGCGGGGGCGGGGAGCACCGATGGGGGAGGCGGCGGCGGCGGCGGCGGCGGGGTCGAGTCAGAGGGAGCCAAGATCGACGCCAGCAAGAACGAAGAGGACGAGGGGTGAGCGGCGGGGGCGGGTTGTGTGTCCCGGGCGGGGCGCGGCGCCCCCGGCCCCGTTCGCTGCCCTGTTTGTTTACTTGGCGCCTCGGCGACGTCACGGGCCGAGCGGCGGGGGCGGCGTCAGGTCCCGCGATGTGCAAATGGTGCGATGTGCCTCAAACTGCAGGCCCCTTTTACTTATTTTTCTTTTTAACGATGCCTTTTCTAGGAGTTAAAGTGCGGTGCGTGCGTGAGGACAGTAACTCGGTGTAGCCGAATGCTCTGGTTGCAGTTGCACTATTGCTCTGTGCTGCAAACATTACTGTGTGTTAGCCGAGTGCCAGAGGCGTCAGCTACCGGGACTTCTTCCCAGCCTAAAACATGCCTCTGCTTCTCCGGAACTTGTTGTCGGGAGGATTATGTTAGGTGGTGTCCAAACTTGAGAAGTAGGAGTTGAAAAGGCAGGAAGCTGAGCCGGGGGAGGTTCAGGTTATGCATCAGGAAAAGGTTTTTCACCTAGAGGGTGGTTGGGCAATAGAACAGGGAAGTGGTTACAGCACCAAGTCTGACAGAGTTCCAGAAGCACTTGGAAAATGTTCTCGGGCACATGGTGTGACTCTTGGGGTGTCCTATGCAGGGCTGGGAGCTGGATTTGATGATTCTGATAGGTCCCTTCCAACTCAGCATGTTCTATTACTCTGTTTTATGGCGAGTAAATACAGCTTTTAATCTTTATATGGTCTCTGCCTGGGGTACTGTCCCTTTGTATTGCCGGTGAAATTTGTGTGTAATAAATCCAGCGACAGGACAGGCTGTTGCACTCTGCTGTCTCCTGTCGGGCCGTGAAACTCGAGCTGCAGGTCTGTTTTTGGTCAAGGCAGAAAATAACCTGGATAAAGGAGTGCTAACTACTGAGTCCTGCAGATTCCTGCTGCAAAACCTTCCTGAGTGTCTTCCTCCTTCAGTAATAACTTGGGATGTTGCTGAGAGAGATGTTAATAATCTGGAATAATGCAGAGAGAGAGAGAGCAGGAATCATTTTTTGAGTATTTTGCTGGCATTAGCAGAAATTAAAATGGTTTTGTTACTTTTCAGCTGTTCTTAACAGCTGTAAATGCCTTTGGCGTTTGCATGTTTGTTTTACTTATTACCCTTGAATACACAGCAATTAAAGGGTTTTCATGTGCAAACTCAGGTTCCTTTGAGGCAAGAGAGCTTAGAAAAAGTGGTCTCTAAGCCGCGCGGTGATACTGGGCAGTGATTACATTTATCGCACAGCACATTGACTCGCAGTCTGGTTCGGTCGTTTTGAACCATCAGCTCTTCATGCTGTACAGGAAACAAAGTTTTTTTGACAACACTTCTGGTAGTAAAGGGAAAAAAGCCGATCTGTGATACCTTGTTTAGCTAAGGTTTGAAAGCTTTCCCAGTGCACTTCTGGTAACTTATTTTGGGAAGCTGTATGTGCTGATGTGGCTTAGACCAGCCATACTGTGGGCTAGGAAATGTGTGTATTTTACAAGCTTTTGGCAGCGCTGTGCCACTGCTCCTGAATTGCTGTGCTCATGTTTGGGGTGTAGCCCTGACCTGAGCTGTGTCCCTTGGAGCAGTAGTGGATGTAGGGGCAGACTGAAGCAGCTGTGGTTTGCTGCTCTGTGACTGGGCTCAAAGGTGCAGTTCCTGCGTGGAGAGATGAAAAACCTTCCGAGGCTCTTGGTTTCAAGCTCGTGGTTCTTGGTCTGCCTGTCCTTAGGAATACAAAGTGGGGTCTGTATGTTAACATGGAGGCAGGTGGTTTGTGTAGCAAGTGTCAGTTCAGTAGTAGCTGCTAGGGCATCACTACCCCCAGTGTGTCAGAAACACGATGCTGCATCCTGTGTGTCCTCAGTTTGGCTGCTTGAAAAGCCCTCCACAGAACAGCAGACAAGCTAAGGACCTTAATGATGGGTGAGCAAAGGGCAGAAAGCTCCTTTGATTCACTGCCTGTACTGGGGTGAGGCTGCTGGTTTACCGCGGTGGGCCCTTCATTCCATGAGGACAGTAAGAAGTCACAGCTGATAGAAGGGGCTGTTGGTACTTTGTTGAAGAGAGATCTGGAATGAATTGGAAAAGCAGATAAAGGGATGGAGAATTGGTGCTCCTTTACAGAATTGCAGACTTGCTATAAAAACATCTGAAGCTCCTGAACCCCTCATCTGTATGGATTTTGTCAGAAACTGAATGCTCTTGTTAATTCTGTGAGAGCACAGCTAAGTCAGCAGAGGTAGTTCAAAGGAGCAGCTTTTGATTCAAGAGAGTTTGAGTTGTGGAGGTGCAGTGCTCTTTTACACGATTGGCAGCAATGTTTGTGCGTGGGAAGTGGGAGGGTTGGAAACATGATACAGTGGTTTTTCAGGTTTTCTGATAACTGTGTCTGATTGTGAAATAAGGTGGGACAGTGAAAACAGGCAAAGCTTTGTCGAAAGTGCTTTTATAGATCATAATGGATCATATTTTTTGGTTAGAGCTCACAGTAAAATCTTCTTTATCAGTATTAGAAGGGATCATCTCAAATCAAATCCTCTTTTGAATGGGTTCCTAAGCCCTATGCCTAATAACCTGGAATGTTTCATTTGTGTGTATACTGGCTTGATTTTTCATCTTTTAAAATTTTGGGGTTTTATGCCTTACTAACATGCTGGGATGGTCATGATTTGATTCTAAGCTTCCAGTGTGCTTTTGAAAATACAGGTTATGAATTATGTGCTGTACACATCTGCCCAGCAGCACTGGTGCTGTAGAAATACTGGAGAGATATTCTCTTAATGGTAATGGATTATGCCAGGTGTTTATATAAAGTTCTTGTGAGAAAAGAGAACTTCTGACCATCCAATACTTTGCTTTTTCATAACTGCTTTCTGGGGAAGGGAACTTGACTAAACTTCATTTTAGTTTATTAATTTGGGCATATGTCCAGTCCAGACTGGTAGATAAATGCTTCTGTTTTAACCACACTTCCTTACAAATCTAATCTGCCTGTGTGTGTTTCAGTTGTGTGGAGGCTCCACAGATAACTGGATGGAATTAAACATGTGATGGGGATGTAAAGAAGTAGTAAAATATCTTTTTGTCACTACTGCTGGTAGTTTCTTGGGACAGCAGAGTAAGCAGCTGCAGGAGAAGACAGTGCAAGATGTTTGTGTATGTGAAAGTCTTTATCTGTCCTGGCCAGACTCACTTGAGCAAGTTGTCAAAAAGTGCAGGCCCATGTGTGTAGTGACATGACTGATAAAATCCGGCCAGTTCCATGCATTAGGGTATTGAGCTCATAAAGCTTGGCAGTGCAGGATTTTGGGTAACACACATTTACAGATTGACCAACTTGTCTTAACAGGAAAATGTTCATTGGTGGCCTTAGTTGGGACACCACGAAGAAGGATCTGAAGGACTACTTCTCCAAGTTTGGTGAAGTTGTGGACTGCACTCTGAAGTTGGACCCCATCACCGGCAGATCGAGAGGCTTTGGCTTTGTGCTCTTCAAAGAGTCAGAGAGTGTGGATAAGGTAGGATTGAAGTAATGAAACATGTTCAAATTCAGGTATCAGAGATAAAGCACTCACTAGGATGACTGTAGGCGTTGTTCTTACATCTTCTGGTAAAGATGATTCAGGGGTGCAGCATGTTTCATGTGCTTGTGAAAATGCTTTCTTTTATGAACCATCTTACTCGTGATGCTGTGTCCAGGACCACAGTGATTCCTGAGCTGTGGATTTGGGCACCTACAGGTTCTGCAAGCCATTGGACTTGGGTGCTTGAAAAATAGAGTGTATAAATGTCTGCTGCTTGCTGCTGTGAAAGCAGCATTTGCAAAGAACTTCTGGTCCTGCAGAGCTGTACTACAGCTCTGGTAAAATCCAGAGCTGTACCGTGAATCCCTAGAGTATGACCAATAGCTTTGATACATTTAAGCTCTATCCAAGCAAAAATTAGTTGTTAAATTTTCTAAAATGCTGTGGATACAGCACACAGAAATATTTTCACCTTCATGACCTTTGTGATATCTAAAGTACAGATTTTTTACTTCATAAGGTTTGAGGATGAGAAGAGTACTTTTTGAGAGGTTTTACACTCTTGCTTCTGCTGGGTAATAAGTGGTTCCAGTTGTCAGAACTGTCAGTGGATAGTGACCAAAAATCACAGAACTTTGTTTTTGTGCAACAACTTCTTGGTGTGATCCAAGTATTGAAATTGAATCATTTTTGCCTTACTCAAAACATCAGTGAAACATTTAGCTTGAGCTGTGTAAAACTGTGTGTTTCAATTATCCTCAGGTCATGGACCAGAAAGAACACAAGCTGAATGGAAAGGTCATTGATCCAAAAAGAGCTAAAGCCATGAAAACAAAAGAACCTGTTAAAAAGATTTTTGTTGGGGGCTTATCTCCAGACACACCTGAGGAGAAAATACGGGAATACTTTGGAGCTTTTGGTGAGGTATGTGGTGAAACAAACTGCTTTTATTTGTGGAACCTGTTCTGTCTTTACAAATGTACTAATAGAAAGCATCCCCCACGTGCAGCCTGCATGGATGCTAATGTAAATCTAATGTAAGCTTTATGGCCATTGTAGTTCCATGTGTGTTAGTGGTCAGAATGTTGATGTTCAGTTACAGACTCTGATTTGAGCAGCCTGGTTTGAGGGAAGGGGGAGCTGGGATAAGTCAGAGAGGGAGGCAGTGTTTTGAGCAGGGTGCTTTGGTCAGTGAGATGCTCTTCAGCCACCCCAGCTCATCTCCTATAGCACAGATTGAGATAGTTTTGCCTAAATTCTGTACAACTGTGTAGTCTCTGTCCCCAGTTTTGGTGGTGCAGACGAGCTAAGTATCACTGAAGTTTTTAAAAGCTGGTCTTGTATGAGTTTGCTACAGCTGCTGTTCCCCTATTGGTTATCAGATGGTGCCAGCTTCAGGTCATAACTGTTCAGGCAGTTTGGTTGCTAAATATGTGCCCTCTTCCAAACTTACAGACAGTTTACTCTGGACTAAAGACTTTAACTACTGTTTGCCTAAGAAGTCCCATGTGCTCTAGGTACAGAGAACTTTGGCTCTGTATTTGTAGTCAGACCACATTGTCATATTCAAATCTAAATAATTTCAGTAACAGGTATGACCTGTTAGAGGGATTTTGCAGTGACATGAATGGCAGGATAAAAGGTAAAATCACTGTCTTCCACCAGGTCGAATCCATAGAGCTCCCTATGGACAACAAAACTAACAAGAGGCGTGGATTTTGCTTCATTACTTTCAAGGAGGAGGAACCAGTGAAGAAAATAATGGAAAAGAAATACCACAATGTTGGGCTTAGTAAAGTAGGTGGATTTTTTTTTTCCTAGACAAACTGAACTGTGACAATATAGGGAATTACATTACCAGTTGGATCTATTTGGGGATAATAGTTTGCCAATACCTGTAAGCATTATTTTTCACATGTAGGCATTGGGCCTGTGAAGTATTTGTGTA